AAGAATTTGAATACTGGTATGCCTGACCCAAAATTCATGCTTATTCCATAAGCCACAGTCAAATACACAAAAGGGGGGATGACATTGTAAATTGGAGTTCTGTCCACCAGACTGTCTCTGCCAGTCCCAGTTTCTCTCAATTGTTGGCTTTGAGAGTCTTCTGCCAGCAGGTTTGATTCTTCCCTGTTATTTGAGCCATATTGGGCACAACAGCCTATACAAGCAGAGGCTTAGTGCTTGCTGGGTTGGTTTTATGGGTCTGTCTCTGGAATATTGCAGGTAAACCTCAGCCACCCTCTTCTTCTGCCCCTTCCCCTTCTCCTGTCCCTGCCCCTTCTACTGGCTGACCCACCATGTTTACCAAGTAGTGTAACTGAGTTGTTTTTTTTTTTTTTAAATGTGGTGCTGAGGATCGAACCCAGTGCCTCACACCTATAAGCAAGTGCTCTACCACTGAGCCACAACCCCAGGCCTAACTGAGGTTTTTATTGCGTCAACAAATGTTTATCAGGCATCTAGGGTTTCCTCTTCAATGTGCCAAAAAAGGTCCAGGTGAGCAGGCATGATGTCTGCTCTCAAGGAGGAGGAATATTAATGGTAGCCACGGTTCTTAGAGTGTTTACTATGAGCTGTCATTGTGTAATCTGCCCAACACCTGCTGCTCTGCCAGAAGACAGAAAAGTCACCACTAGGCTTTGTGTGTGTTTTGCCCCCACCAAAACTCATGCTGAAATTTGATTCCTGGTATAACAGTATTGGGAGGTGGCGGGACCGGTAAGGTCATGGGGGCACCACCTTGAGAACAGATTGTCTTTCTTGAGAGTCTGAGTCAGGTCTCTTGAGAATGGATCACATCTCTCAGGAGTGAGTTAGGTTTCCTAGGACTTGCGCAGTTTGTCATAAAGCAAGGTTACCCTGGCCTTTCCACTTCTGGCATGCACCCCCACCCCTTTCTGCTTCCCTGCTATGCTGTGTCACAATGCGACACCCCCAAATGGGAGCTAAAATGCACAACAATAGCCTCTGTCTTTCTCCTGCAGGGTTTTCCCCGCAATAGTGCAGTGGCCAAGTGCAAGGGCTTTCCAAAAATATGTAGTTTGGGTCTGAATACAGATTGTACTACAAAGTAGTACTTAGCTTTCCCAAGCCTCAGTTTTCCCTACTTTAAAATAGGGGTTGCGCGCTCTCCCTCCTCTCTCCCTCCCTCCCCCCCTTTCTCTCTCTCTGCTTTCTAGTTCCATGTCCTGAGTTGCTTTCTTCTTCTGCCTTGATGTTCTGGGTCACTTTGGGCCCAGAACAATGGAGCTGACCATATGTGGATTGAGACCTTGGAAACTGTGAACCTCAAGCAAAAGAAAACAGTTAAAAGTGAGGATGGGGCAGGGGTGTAAAAATATTGTTTCCTCATAAGACTCCAGCAAGAATTAGAAAATGTGTGTAAAGAACTTGGCAGCTAGGTGCAGGTGACACACATCTGTATTCCCAGGGACTTGGGAGGCTGAGGCAGGAAGACTCCAAGTTCAAAGCCAACCTCAGCAAAGGCAAGGCGCTAAGCAACTCAGACTCTGTCTCTAAATGAAATACAAAGTAGGGCTGGGAATAAGGCTCAGTGGTTGAGTGCCCCTGAGTTCAATCTCCAGTACTAAAAAAAGAAGAACTTGGCAAATGACCAGGCATTGAGCAAAGACCCAATCAGTATGAGGAAGACAGTAGCAAATGTTGGGGTGCAACAATAAACTCCCCTTCTGGTCTGAGACATTCATTCTCCTGGCTTCAATGGTTCCCTTTTCCAAGGCTGCTCACGTTAAAGCTGAGTTGATGTAAAAATACAAAGTCTGGTTCCTGAGTGGGTTAGACCATTGCTGCCACTCCTAGGAGTTTAATTCTCTGGAGCAATCATCAATAAACATCCTGTATGCAAATCTCAAGGACTCAAGCTATAATCAGGATGAGGAAGATGGTATGGTGATTACACCTCACTATCTTTAAAGATCAGCCCCAACTAATATTGGCAAGAATATTGAACCAGTGACAAATCAATCAATTGGATTATATTTTACCGCCTATTCTCAAATATGTTAATTCTTTGCTTATTTGAGTTTACTCTTAGGAAGAGGACACACAAACTTGGATTTCACAGGTATGTGTGAACTACAAAAGCCTGTTATTTCTTAAGGACTCAGCTTTTGGTTACATTCAGACACTGTTCTTAATAAGGCATGAAGTCTGGGTCCAGAGATATTCAATTTTTATGCCACAACTGCAAAACAATTAATTCATAAATTCAGTATTAACTGTAGCCTGTTTCTTCTCAAAGTCTAAATCATATACATCATAAACTCTCTTATTAGGTTTAGTAAGAAGATAGGATTATTTGGGCAAACCAATATTATGCTAGAGCTGGCACATTTCAATAATGCTTTACCAATTTTTTAATAAATCTGAAAATAGTAAAATGTATTTAAACGCTGAAAATCTGACGCACACAATTTAATTTAATTTTTGGTAATTTCGAAGACATTTGGCATTTGAGTAATTATTCATGCATTATAAATGTGCAGAGAGAAGAGTTACTAGAGATTGACAGATAAAGTCAGTTTGAATCTGGCTGTATCTGTGATTATGATGTAATGAATATCCATATTTGCATACATTAATCTTATTGAGTATAAATATGAGAACTGTTATAAGAATTGGTAATTGGAATGTAGCTGCTCATGAGCACAGCAGGGAACACATTGATTAGAATGGGATTAGATAGAGAAAAAGATAATTAAATTAAGACGAAATTTACATACACTAACTACATTAGGCATACAAAATACTGGATTGAATATTGTATACACCCCTGTAACTAATGTATTGTTCAAGACAGAACATTCCCAAAGCGGGGATGCGTGGGAAAGCTCTTTTGAATTTCTGACTTTCCCATAATGCTCAGCTCCCTATGAGGACTCCTTGGCTGCAGGGTTCGGAGGCAGGCACCATTGCTTGAGGCTTTCATTTGCTGGTCATTGCTCCCTGTTCTGCAGATCCCACCGCACAGTTTTTGCCAGAATGGAGGCGATTTCTTTCATTGTCCCAGACAGAGGGCATGTCCACTGTTTCCTTGTTGGCTTACCAAGTTCAAATGGTTCTTTCTCACAATGGACACACACAGTGCTCAGACCCCTCCACATCTGCCAGGAGCTCTCAGGAAACCTATATAATATCTTCTTTGCCCAATTCTGAGCAGAGAACAAGGCATGTGCTTTGCTTTTAGGGATGGAAACCTCGAGGCAAAGTGGTTTCCTGGACAATGACTTTGACACCAACACAAATTATACGATGCAGTCTGTCTTATGGGTTTGAGGGATTTCTCTCCCCCTGTAGCAGGAGGAGAATGTGGTGGAGCTGGGGAGGCACTTACCTTGTGTTTTTAAAGCTTCTCAATGTTCTCATCCTACTTGAGAGTCTAGTTCATGGTTCAGACATAAGGAAGTGAAGAAGAGAGCAAGATAGTGAATGCACTAGGGAGAGACACTGGCAGATATGACACGAGACACTGTGGGTCTTGATGTTTTGGGACACAGGAGCAAGAGGAGAGAGCAAAGGGCCAAAGGTGACCCAAACATTGTCACAACAGCAACACTTCCTACTTCTTACAGTTTTGCCTTCACACTTCTGGCAGCTTTAGCTTCAGCCACTTAGGAGTTTGATTTAAATATAGGTCAACATTTTAAATTCAACCCTTTTTAGCATTCAAAGGAGAGTGATGAAAAGTTTGAATAAAGACATTAAATGTTCTGGGAAGCCCCCTTCCACTCTCCAAAGGTTGCTCTTTAACGTCTCACAGTGGCTTGGTAGAAATAGCCACGTTTATTTACTACGGGAAATATCTATTTAGAGGTTTAGGAAATTATGCCAAAGGATTTTCCATGTTTTCAGCAAAGGAGGCTCAGTCCAGGATGTTCAACTTGGTGAGTGGAACTGGGGTTGGCTTCGCCCTGCCCCACCTCTGCAGACAGAGTCAGGAGACAAGGGTGACCGGAAATGGCCCCACTCTCCAGCTGTTCTCATTGGCTGGCTGACGGTTCACCTCATCTCTTTAACATAATGACTATGCTGTGGGATTGGACAGTTGCGACATCTAATCTGCCTCAAAAGCTCTTTCTCGCTTCCAGGGAATTCCACTGTATCTCCTCAGTTCTGCGTAAGATCTAACCACAACTTAATTACTAGTCTTCTGGAGAGAGCTGGGGAGACAGTCTCCCACACCGTGACTCCATCCACTCAGCCATGAATGAACAATCCAGCTCTTTACAGCTGGTTCCCAAACAAGTGTCACAACCAAAGCATGAATAAATACTATGTGCATCACAATACAACCTGGGCTTGCCTCCTTGTTTTGCTCCTTTTTAACACTCACCTAAGCCTGAGGAAAACTTTCTCTAGTGTCTTCTGACTCACCAAAGCATCCCCTTAATCCCCTGTAGATAAGCAAAGGTTCTATCTGGCTGTAATTATGGAAGAGGCATCATTGGGGTTGCTTGGCAGCAGAAATTGGTTTATTGCAAACAACCTTCTGCGGGGCAACTACCCTTATTTTCCTAAGTTGTGTGTCTTCTGGTTGATTGACTTGCTGTCTGAATTATACAAAAGGTTTTCTCTCTATACCCGTGGGAGGACAGAGACAGCAAAGCCACAGGGAAGGCTTGATTCTAGAAAGTGGAGAAGGCACTCACTCTTAAGCAACAGGGGCACCATGTTCCATGGTTCTTCTGTCTAGAAACTTCTAATTAGAAAATCGGAGGCTCAGTGTCCTTTGCCCTGTTTCAGATTTCCTGAAAAGCTTCAGCAGGACAAAGGAGAAGCTCTGGAAGTAGGGACCTATATCCTGCTACAGATGAGTGCCACTCAACTCAGGAAAGGATGTAAACCATTACCTAGTGGTTGACATATCACAATGGTCCAAATCGTTAAGTTGAACAATCTGGATCAGCAGTTATGTTCACGGGACCATGAAGGTAAGCAAACAGTGAAGCTACCTGTGTAAGGGGTAGGCAGCCATTGCCATTTATTAAATAACTATTATGGACTAGTCCCTGTGTCAAAGTATTGTGTGTGTGTGTGTGTGTGTACACAAAAATAAATACTGCTAGTTTAACACTGTCTTCGAAGATGAGAAGCCAAGCTTCTGAGAGGTTAATTCATGAATACTAAGACTTGTAAGTAACAGGGGTGAGATTTGAAGCTTGACAGCCAACATACCATCCATGCCCCATCCATGACCCAGTGGAGCTAAAATTTTTAATGGGAGATATCTGAAACTTTAAATTGTTAGCCATATCTTTTAAAATTTTTGTTTAAAATTCCATTTCAGGTCAATAATTAATTGCAGGTGTAGTCAAGAATTATTTCCATTTAAAAAAATTTTTAGCTATAGATGGACACAATACCTTTATTTTATTTATTTATGTGGTGCTGAGGATCGAACCCAGTGCTCCACACATGTGAGACAAGCGTTCTGCCATTGAGCCACAACCCCAGCCCAGATTATTTCCGTCATGACCAAAATCATTAAGTCATTGCTCAACCTGAAATTCTGTGCATACATGGGGGTAAACCTGGACCAAAGAAGTAGAAATGTAGTCAGGATTCCACACTAGTTTTGAGGGATGCCCTTTGAAGAAACTTTGCAATATCGGTTCCTAGGGTTTGTTCGTTTTATCAGAAACCAAGAGATAACGTGGAACATGATTTCAGATGTGTGAATTCAGGTCAGAGTGCTGCAATGCTGTAGTTCAAAGATTCTCAACCAATCACATAGTGGGGTATGTGGTCACTGAACTGAGATATTGACCCTCTCAATCCTCAGGAGACTGGGTGGTTTCTGGCCATAAGTAGCCTCTCCCTTTAGTTTAATCCGTGTCGCAGGTCTGTGTGTGTGTGTGTGTGTGTGTGTGTGTGTGTGTGTGTGTGAGAGTGAGATGGAGTTAAAATAGTTGGGAAACACTACTGTGCTTATGTTTCTTATGTAATATAGACTGCCCCAACTTCCCATAAAGCTTTCCTTTTTTTTTTTTTTTCATGAATGGGATCTACATCTTCCCATGAATCCTGTACTGTAGCTTTTCTGCTCTTTTGCTGATCTGATAATAGGATATCCTTTCCCTGGATTTTCCCACCTTATTCATGAATCTTTTCATTAAAGACAAAACTACCACCCTCCATTCATTTATCCATTCCAGTTCTCTTCCTGTCCTCCAGTTTCACAGAGCAATCCTGTACTATTTTGGTTTAGATTCATCCAATCATGACTTGTTTGGAAAAGTCCCTGTGGACAGGTCATGAGGCCTACTAGGGTGTCCAATTTGTCTCAGGGGGTTTGGGACATTCCTCTTTTTATCCCTTAAATTCCTGCATCCTGAGCAAGTCAGGATAGTTGGTCACCCTAGGCTTAGCACAGCAGGATTGTCACAAGCAGAATGAAAGACTCTTCTTCCTGTAGGTAGAAATGTGGGGATGGCAAGGGGGAAGGTTTCACATAAAATTAACTCAGTGTTTTTATTAGATAAAAATAATGGGAGATAAGTGGCTGGTGAAAGAATTGTGTCACTCAAAGAATCCTTGTTTCCTTCTTAACATATTCTTTGAAAACAAGTTGACAACAACTTTCACTAGGTGCATTCAAGCTGCACCTGAATGAAACCTGTCATTTCTCAAAGAATGCAAATTAATAGAAATAACTACAAAAAATTAAGTAGTTACATATTTATTTTTCAAAAATAAAAAGCAAGTTTCAATGTTATAATCTACTAAATTGAGGCATCTCGATCACTTGGGGCACCTTCTCTTCTTTAACAGCCATTTGCCCTCAATCGTCTACTATCTTCCTGTTCCCTACCTGCAATATCCTAAATAACATACCTAGCTTAAGCAATGGTTACTATTCAAAAGTGGGGAAATATGGTTATTATAGAGGGAGAAAGCACCCAAATCTGAATTAGTCAGGGTTGTCCAGACAAAGAAAACCAACAGGGTATTTTCCATCTATCCATCCATCCATCCATCCATTTACCTACCTACAAACAGATGGATTGATCAGCCAATTGACTGATATATAAATATATAGATATATGAAGGAATCATTATGGGAATTGGCTTGTGCAATTATAAAGGCTGAGACATCACACAGTAAGCTGTCTGCAAGCTGGAGAATCAGGAGGCTAATATATAATTCAGTCTGAGAACAAAGGCTGAGAAGCTGGGGGCTGCTGGTCTAGTCCATAGAATCCAAAGACCTGAGGACCTGAGCTTTGATGTCTAGCAGAAGATGAATATCGCAGATCCAGAAGAGTAGAATTTGAACTGTGGCCTAGAGAGGAAACACTGCCAGGCTATAAGAGGAAGAGAGGACACAGGGAGAGTGAAACTCAGCAGGTGACCTTAGGCAAGTGGCTTAACTTTTCTTGTCTCTGTGCCTCCATCTGCCAAAGAATAGGGGGGCTGTGTGAGTTTGAAGTCCTCATGCATTCTAGAATTCTAGCCCATTTTGAGGGAGTATAAGAGAAGACAATTACAGAAACACTATCAAAAAATGTTTGAACGTTTTGGCATGTCAAACCAAGGAATTAGCCAGGAATCTTTGCAAAACTAAATATATATATATATATTGACCAGGATGGAACAAACCCTTTAAGACCAAAGAGACCAGAAAGCCTTTAAAAGTCTGCAGCAAAAGAAGTCTCACTCCTCACATCGTATGCCAACTTCTACTGCATACATACCTTTATAATTTGCAAAATATCATCACACAGACTTACAGACTGAGAAGCCCTTGAACATACTATTGCTGCTTTTGATCTTGACACAATCTCTGAGAGGCAGAATGCAGAGTTTCTATTGTTCTCATGTTACAGATAGGTGAACTGGTTTTCCAAGTAAGATCACAGTTAAGGTCACAGAGCCAAGTCTTAGACTCTGCTTCTATGGATTTCTGTAACTTCTAAAGAGAATAGAGGTCAGTGAGATCTTATCACTGAGCAGCCAGGTCAGAAGTAGGAGCTCTAGAGAGGAGGTGTCAAGGACCCACATAATACACCATGCCCTCACCAGCTTGGAGCAGAGGCCTGCACTTGTGGACTTCATGGTTGGCCTCTAAAAGGGTCTTACCAAAGAGATGGTAGTATAGATTTGGAGGTAGCCTCTCCAGTCTGGGTGCTGACTATCTGCTGGGGCCAGGTTCTAATCAGGTGTCTTTCTAAATGTTTCAGTGCCAGACTTTGGTGTTCTGGAAGGCTGTGGGATGGAGGTGGTCAAGGTGTCTTTAAGGACTCACATTTCCCTGCTGTGTGATGTTGTAATAGCTGGTTGATATTGTACCATTTGTTTTTACTGCTGTTTAGAGATTTTGTCCCATACACATTATTCCAAAAATAGATTGTACTATATTTTAGGCCATTTGAATTTAATCAACAAGCTTCTTCTCACTGCTATGTTTGTAGTTTTATTGTTTCTGGCCAGGACAAGGATGCCTGAAGACAGTTTTCTGAAGACCAATTTCTCTGATCTTTTTGATGTTAAACCAAGGGACCCTGCTCCCAGATGGTGATTTATAACTTTAATGAGATGTTCTTGACCACTTTGTGGTTACGAGGGAACACATGGAACCTCAGAGAAGCAATCGTTCCCAGTAGTCAAGGTGGAGTCACACTGTTCCCTCCAACCTCGCTAGGATCCTAATAGGATTCAGAATGGTCACATATTCTGCGCTGTCTCAGCATTACCCAACATGACATAATCATTTCATAACTTGGTAGGACTGGTGGCAGGATTAAATATTCCATACTATGGCCCATTTCAGATTATCTGACCTGTTGAAACTCCAAGGACATTGTAGGCTCCCCTTCTTGTGTCCCAACAGGACTAAGATCAAAAGCATGTATGTTATTTTTTCCTGGAGTGTTTGTTTAGCAACGCCTTACATTGAAATGCTGCGGCCTAAAGAACAAGAGGAGGTTCAGGAACATTAACAACTGTTACTCATAGTTGTATATCCCATGCTCTCTGTCCTCCCCATTGTGAAAGCCACGCCACCTATCCCTGGGCCATAAGAGCTCCTTCTTTCTAACTTCTTGCGGGTGCTCACCCAAGCTTTGGGCTCAGATTTAAACATGCCCAGGGGACACTGCCTTTTTAGGTACATGCCAGAATTAGGAAAAGAGTGTCACTCTTTGGATTCTGGAGCTCACCCCATTTGGTGGTGAGTTTGGAGAGCATTTACAATGCTCATTGTTCATTCATTGATCATTTATTCATTCGTTTATTCATTCACACTTCCATCCATCCAATCATCCCTCACATAGTTATTGAGTGCCCAGTGTGTGCCATGTGCTAAGCTGGGTACTAGGCATTCAGTGGTGAAGGCATGGTCTCAAGGAGGGGCTTCTGTCTCAATATAGAAGCTCAAGGAATTCCAGGGTGTTAGTTACTGCTAAGAGTCTGTAGGGGTTCAAGGGGCCCCATTAAGTTTGAAAAACTCTGGACCTTCCTTGGCCTCCAATGAAGAGCCAAGTCCTCAAAGGCCACTGCCAGTGCTCTCTAGATGACTACTACGCACAAGGAGGGGCCAAGGGTGGGGCCCTCTGAAGGCTGTGTCATCCTGGGCTCCAGCCACAGAGGTTTCATCACAGAGGGAAGCTGAGCTCTGAGCACGTTGCTAGGCTGTGGCTATTTATTTTTATAAACAAGCCTTGAGCTTAATATAGAAATCTGATTTTGCTTTTTCTTTCTTCTTTCCAGCATCATCTGGCTGTCTGGCACCATCAAAGAGCTGCATTTCTGACCCAACAGGAGCTCGTGGCTAGATGGGGGTAGGAAGAAGGTTGGGGAAGAGACCTGTCAGCTGGGCTGCCTCACGGGGAGGGGGAAGCACGTGGCTATACCACTAGCATCCTGTTCAGCTTCAGCACGAGTGTCATCGGTGACACCTACATGGTCCTTGCTTGAAACAGCAGGAGCAAAAAAAGCAGCTCTGGTGCTAGCATCTCTTCTGATGAGCCCACACCAGAATACAACAGAAGAGAAGGCAAGGCCACACCAAAGAGGACCCAAGTCAGGTGCCATAAGCAGGTGGCGTCTCAACTCTCTGTCCTTTGGAGGAAGCTATTTTAATAGAGCCACTTTACTGCAGCTATTTTGACATGTGAATATTTTGATTTATCCCCCAAACTTAGCCAGTAAATGTTCAGCTTTTAAAATACTGAATTAGTAACATGGGTATTTTAAAAACCCATCTGTGAGTTTCACACACCCCTGATCTTTCACCCATTTTCAAACCCCATGTCCAGACATCAAGGGAGTATGGTTTGCAGATACATGAAAGAAAAGGTTGGTAGAGGCTCAAAGTGGAGAACCATCAGAAGCCAGGCAATGATCAAGAATAAAGCGTCAGGAACAGGTGATATCAGAACTGGGAGTGAGTTGGGGCTACATGAGGGTTGGGAGCCCCTAAAGTCAAAAGAATGGGTCAAATTCACAGGTAAGCCAAGAGCTAGAATGAGAATGAGGCAGAAAACCAGTTTCTCTCTCTCTCTCTGTCTCTCTTTCTCTCTCTCTCTCTCTCTCTCTCTCTCT